TTAAATATGTCAAGTCTGCCTTTTTTTCTTGCTTTATTTCAATCTGAAAAACAGAAAAAAAGAACGAAAAGATGGTTAGATTCATTTTTCATGACCGCGGAGCGTTATATTCCAGCTGGTTTGAAGCCGTTCTAAAGCTGATTGAACAGAAAGGTTGAAGTAGAGAAGAGAGCAGCCGTAGGAATAAAAGAATGCTGAAAAACAAATAATATTGAGGGAGAAGGAATAAAAAAAGAGGAAGAAATTATGTGAGAGTATTGCGCACATAAGAGAAAAGCCAACAGGGGCGCTATAGATGAATCCGTAAAGAGGTTATCGATGATCTTAGTGAGCGAGAAGGAAAACAAAATGTGAACAAGAGAGAAAGTTAATAGATATGCAAGCTATTAAAGACTAAAAATGATGGACATACATTGTGCAATCACTAAGTGACAAATTTCGGCTGTTAAGAAGCTTTCCGACAAACACCTTGGGCGACGTCTATCGGTTTACGAGCGAGTCACTCGATCAAATACTAGTTCGTTCATTAAAATCACGTCCACAAATTATGTAAAAAGATATTGGATTCCATCAGCAAAACAAAAATTTGGTAAAGTTGTAGCATGAAGTTTTAGTAAAAATTAGCATCTATGGACGTTTTCGTGAGTGTGAAACGAACTAATGAGCACTAAAAACACTTAGGCTGACGTTTTTAATTGTAAGATAAGAGGTTAGGAAAGAGAGTTAAGTAGATGAAGATTCATTGCCGATTTGCACTACCGAGATTAATTCCGTTGATGGGCGATTGCTGACGGCACGTTAGAACTAGCTGATGGACAGACGAAACGAAGGACCCGCACGGTGTGGTGGTGAATGCGTGCGTTATCCCCCGGAAAGGGTAATAACGCGTTCGTTATCCACCGCAGACACTTGCGGTCCAGAGTTTTGCAGATATCTCGGCATTATTACGTGATGCGTTTGACACAATAATACCACACACATAATACCCTGCCTTGAAAAATTGTAATAGGCGGCAAATAAAGAGTTAACATTGAAGATAAGAGTTTTTTCAATGTTGAAAGTGGTTTAAATTCTCGTTGTCGAACTTCGACCCCTTATTTTCAAATAGATTCCAGAAATCTGCCTTAATATTATGTACAATTTTAAAACGCGAGCTTCGTTGTACGCTTTTATGTAGGTGATTTTATTTTAATCATTAATTCTGTTCGGTCAAGGCCTTTCGAAAAGTGAGTTTTTTCTCCAAATTCCAACTTTGTTGTAATGAGGGGAGGAATAAAGAACACTCTGGATTCATTAGATTGTGGAGAATGTGCCATGAATTGGACTCCATTCGCAGCATCGTAAATATGGTAAAGGTTTCTGAATCTGACCTATAAAGTGACTTGTACTTCGTTTAGCGCCTGTGGAGCAGTGGTGGAAGGCGCTCTGGAACACACACGTGGAACGATCCTCGCGCCCATGGCCCACCAAGCCTTTCATCCCTCCGGGGTCGGTAAACTGGTACCAAGCTTGTTTGGGAGGATAGCAGCACTGGCATGATACATCCGTAAGCCACCATGAGTCATTGTAAAGTCCAGATATGCGTTCAATCATCTCCAACGATGCTTAATGAAGTTGAATGCGTGGAGCAACCCCTTGATCAACGCCGAGAGCTTTAAAGAGGCAGAGCTTTACGGTTAGCTTAGTTAGCTTACCGATTAATCAAATGAGTCAGTCTTTTTGTCTTCTCAGACAGCTTCGGTACTAAACTGATTATCTTGAAAGGGTGAAACACCTAGTTTTCCTACTATACAGGATCGAACCATTGACCAACCCTGTTTATACTGCAGAACATCTCTATCCACTGCACTACGCGCCTTGCTAATTGAAAGTAAAATCGAGAAATCATGAACTGCATTTTGCATAATCATTACATTTAAACAGACAGAAGACAGTTAAGGGTCTTAATAAGGAACAGTTTTAAAATTTTTAATGGTGAAAATGAGACTCTTGAAAAAGAACGTGGTGGATGACGTCTTGCCGTTGTCGACGACACCCATGAAAACACTCAGTGAAGCATAAATGGCTCCAGATTTTGAAAAGTAGCTAGTGCATTTAAAACAGCGAAAAAAAAAGAATGTAAATGAGCTGAATAATGAGAAAACAAAAAACTTTCTATGTAGGTGGTATGCATTAGTTGAGCGAAAAACAAACGACTATCGTTGTGATGTCTGTTATGGCGTTTCTTTTCATGTCAGATTTTGGGTGTTCTTCTTTAAAGGCCGTCTTGGGACATTACACTTTAAATTATAGTTAACGAAGATTAAACGAAAGTTTTCAGTGGTGTTCGTTCGATGCGTTCGCCTGATATGATCGCATAGCTCATTGCACTTCACCTTCTAATTAATCAGAATTTCCGATGAGAATATCGATATAACGGAGTAATGACATTTCACACAGTCCAGATTTGTTCCAGACATAAAGCGAATAATATTTGTAGTGCATCACTAGTGAACTACAAAGAGTCTGGACCAGATAGCCCTATTCATCATTAAGTGGAAGGGATTCTGTTTATAAATAGGTTTTCACATATCTTTAAGGACGAGAGTTTTCGCCGAAGTGAACATATCCTTATAGCTTTGTTTCACACGTTTACGTTTTTTATTTTCGTTTGGAGAACGGAGTTTCGCATGCATTTAGTAGCTTGCAGCTTGGTCGTTTCCTAATCTTAAATCCTAAACGACAAAGTCGACAAAGCATTTGATGTTGAGCAATCCCTGAGAGAGCGACTACGCATCCCACTCAATTTGTAGTATCATGGAGGTAACTAGACGCATTCTTGAAATGCAAAATCACTTGTGGGGTCTATCGGGGTCTATCGTTGCACCAAATCAGTGTTTTTGTGCTGTCAAGAAAATTCGATAACTCCTTATTCCTTACAATTAATCAAAGTAGTGATTTTACATGGGTACGAAATTGAACTAACGATTAGGTGATCATTTCAAGTCAATAGCACCCAGTGTGTTCTAAGTAGTTCTTAAAATTTTGACATAATGAAGTCTGGTGAAGAAGAAAGCCTCTTTGTTAGAAAACTTCAAAACAAATGAATGCGAACAGTCTTGAATGAGGTTATTGCTGAGGGATAAGGCTCTGGGTGTTGATCATTCTCTGAGGGATGCGCCATGCATTCGACTTCTTCAAGTATCGTTTGAAGGCGACTGAAAGCATAATTGGTCTATGAAACGACTCGCGCTGACCTTACCGATGTATTGTCTCAGTGAGGATTTTCTGACGAGTCTGGTCACCACAGCGCTACAAGGTTCCTTATGACTAAAATTCTGAATGTAAAACTTGCAAACCTATAAAACCCATTAGAACCTTATTAAGGTGGACACAATCGTTTTAATAACGAATACTATCAAAATCTCATATCTCGAATGTATAGCTCAAAATCAGGTTAAGTCCAAAAAGTTAAATATAGTGGGCAAATTGACCCATTGAAATTGAAAGCTAAAAAAAAGTGGAAATAAGAAAATGATTGGGAGGAAAAAAAATGCAACAGGTGAGTGACAGCTGATGTCGGTTAAAGTGAACACGATAAATTATTAACTATTAATACAAAGTTGCATAAATGATGACGATGAATAAAATTCAATAAAAGTGAAAGTAATGAAGGAAATAAGAATTAGGTAAGAATATTGTGCGTTATGCAGTAGGAGACTAGACAGGTGTGGTCTGATCCTGAGCTGTGCGAGGTTTATTGTTCTTTTCCTGGACTTGTTGGTGTGTGTATTGATGAAACCACGTTGGTCTATGACCAATATAGGACAGAATTCGTTCGAATTGTTCGTGATTTGCTTGCGGATCACTGATTCGGCCGTGTCTAAGCCATCTGAAAAGAAGCTAATCTGTTTGGAAGCAATACAGTCTCAATTTCTGCGATCGTTTTTTTTTTCACCAAAAACTTTGCGCTATCTATTTTAGGCTATATATCCTCCTAGTTGAAATCCCAAGAGTTTTTAAAAAAAGTAGGAATGGGTAAAAAGTAATACACGATACTAATTAATACGGATAAACAGGAAGATAGATGATACTTTTTCTCTGAAATCACCTCTTTCCTCTCACTTGGCAAAGTTGTTTTTTTGGTGTTCCAAACGTATGAGAAGCTTTTGAGGAAATTTTTAAGAGTACATAAGATTCAGAAATAGGTAGCTCAGAGGAAAATGATGTATCGTTAGCAGAACATTAATCACAGGAATGTCAGAGTTAGAACAGTTAAAAACTCATGGCACACCTGTGTATAACCACTAGCTCTGCATTCTATTGCATTTTTTCTTTGTTTAATCAAGAGTTTTCAAACTTGTTATTGCAAATGTGGAAATTCATATAACATTTCTTGTTAAGAATAATGAAATGTTCCACTCACTTTTCTCTTAGCTGAAGAATCAAGAATTCAACGACCCCACGCTGGAAAAGATATGACAGCGCCGTACAAACGAAAGCTACGAACACCAAGTAAAGGCGATTTTCAAAGAACGGAATTGGATCATATTCGAGATATTTAATGATGAATCCTAGCGGCCACAGCGTGATGATCAGCGAGACATGAAATCGACAGAATGGTCCGGTGGAAAAGAAAAGGGAAAAAACCAACAAAATATACAAATGACTCCCGACTGCATCCATGCACCATCCTATGCTTATACGAATTACTTTCTCATATTCACGGTTGAATAGAGTATGCAAGCACTGGTGCTTCGCGAAATTCCACACGTAGGTTGAACAAAGCATGCAACTTTACCTTTCACATGACTTGGTACTCACCACAAAAAGAATAACTAAAGTGATACAGAGCGGACGGTTATACAGGATCGATTTACGATACGGTTCTCCCTTGCTGTTGATGAGAGCCAATGTTATGTATTGAAAAGTTTACATGCAAAACAGTCCAGTACCCTAAATTATGGAGAGTTCCGCTCAAAAAGAAGAGTAGAAAAGCAGTGTGTTCCATTTGAAAACTACTATTCAAATATGTGAAAAAGAACCTGCATAGACTTCCTACTTAATGTGTCAGGACCATCTGGCGGTGCATATGGAAAAAACCACGGCTGCCTTGTTATTAAAATGAATACGTAGAGCTAAAAGAAGCACAGCTGACAAAATGGAAAGCATTCGGTTGCTGTCTGCTGTGTATGCACTCAAATTCAATGTGATGGTTCAATAAATACTTCTAGTGCTCTTTTCCCTTGCATACTGTCTTGAGGGGAATTGAAGTGAGAGAATAAATTTGGTGCTGAATTTACCTTCTAATTTGCTGCTGAAGAAAACTGTACTACTTCTAACATTCTCTAACGCCCACTTTCAGCATCTCATCATAAACCAAAAACATTTTTCACTAACAGCTCTGCAAAAAACATAAACACATTCTTAATAATGTTTTAGCTGACGAACAAATTAGTGAGAAGGATGCAACGATAAAATTATCCGCCCCATCATCGGCATTCGGTCATCCAACGTTCAGATGTAAAAGTATAGGAATGGAACCGAAGCAGAAGATAATCCTTTCTTAAACCATTAAACATCAAAACAAACTTATCATAATAAGTTTTATGTCATAAGACGAAATAGAAAAAGAACAAAAAAGATAAAGCTCTCGGCGTTGGCCTAAATGCATATCCGACCTCTAAAATGGTTCGTGGTGGCCTGGGCCTACCGTTGTATCGAGCCAATGCTGTTATCCTCGCTGAAAAGTCTGGTACCAATTTTCCTAGCCTGGAAGGATGGAGGGGTTGGTTAGACTGGGCGGTGGGATCGATCCCATGCGTATTCCAGGACGCCTTCAACGTCTGCGCTACACGCGCTCCTACGAAATAAATACTGATAAGATGTTTAAAATTCTCATTTATTCACAATTTCATTAAAAGTTGACTGTCAACACAAGCATTTAGTAGAAGGATGACATTACTCTGGCTCTGTGAAACACTGGGTTCATTTTATTTTTATGGCAGTTGAAGTTAATTGCATCAGTAAACAAGCGAGAGCGGAGTTTCTTCAAGGTCACTATTTCTAAGGTTTAAATTGAAATATCAGTGGACAGTGAAATTGAAATCGAATGTCGAGAAAATACGTAAACAGTAGAATATTCGAGTGTTTCTGCGTAACAAAGATTTACAATCCTCTTGATTTAAGTGTGCTTCATCAATTAGGGATCTCTCGCAAGTTATATTCTAGTGCAGAACAAATCCTGTATTATGACCACCACGGGAAATACTTCGAAATACTTAGTTATACTGAAATATGTTTCACGAAACCACATGTACCAAGGAGTGCAAACATCAGCGCTTTGTTGAGCTTAAACTTTAGAAAGGTTTAATAAAGCAGCTATACACACCTGACTGATTGCAATGATTAAAAGCTGGCCACACACAGATGCGACGCTGGCTAGAGAAAGTAGTCGTGTGGGTGGTGGTGTAGAACTTAGTCTGTCACTTGCCGGTGTATTACCAAAGAACAAAGCAACAAATGTAATCAAGAACAGGTCAATGTAGAGAAACTGCAAGTAAATAATTATATTTTAGCTTCTCCAAAAGTGCTGACGTCGCTCGTATCAATTATATTGCTCCAACACTATTGAACAGTTTTGCCGTTCATGTGTTTGTTTTCATAAGAGCAATTTATTGCAAAGGTGAAGAATAACAACTACAGTGTGCTCCATACCTCCCTGTTTCTCACTGGTCGCTATTTCCATGAAATGTACCACTTTCCGACTACTGCACATAAAAATAGGAATGTGAAACAACATCAGGTGCGAGCACATGACCTATACAAACAGCTCGAAAAACTCGCACACCGAACATCGCAAGTGTAATTGAGCCGTTAAATTGTCATGTTTCCTTCAATATTGCCCGTCTTCAGTCTTATTTTGCCTTCCATATAACTTCCAGCTTAGTTTGTAGAAAAGAAAAAATAACGCTCATCTTAACAGCAAGAAAAAATCGGCGGTATTCCATATGAGTGAATCGATAATGAATATCATATAACCTCTTCATAACGATTATTAACCTTATTCTATGATGGAAATCGATCCAAAAATTCCATCAAGTGTTTATGGTGACGGCCTAAGAACGCCTTAGCGTCGTGATCTCGGGTTTCTAGAGATAACCAGTCAACAGTCAACATGTTGATGGAAAAGAACAACAGAGTTTCAAGTTGCAACTGAAGCCACACACGAACTCGATCATCTCTGTTGTTCACGGATTGTGGACGATTTGATTGATGGAGGATTTGTTGGGATCGGCACCATAAGTGAAAAGTGGTCATTTATGTATCTAAGCAAGGTTGCACTTAAATTTGACTAAACAATGCCTGAAAATCGGCCAAAGTGTTTGAAATCCAATAGAGAAGCAAAATAGTAGTAAATTGTGTTAGTGAGTAACCAGCCATATATTTGAATACTCCGAATGATGTCACAAAGGTGCGCGACCTTCTCGGATGACTGTTGGTACGCAACGATTATCGGCAATCTGCAATTTCATACCGTAAATCATACTTCAAAACCAGATAACCAGAAAAACTTTGATTTCTGTGCTAGTGAAGCTCTCCAGTCAAAACCAAGAATGAAAAGAACAAATGACAAAAAGGAAGAAAAGAAGGCAATGTTCTAAGAAACACATGGTGAGCGGATAGGTTCCATATCATGCTTGGCATTACGTTCTAAGGAAAGGTCACAAAAGCAAAAAACAAAGAAATCAGCCGGTTGACATATATAGCAAGCACACCCATAGATCTTATGGATGGTCCATTTTGAGAACGTTTGTGTATTTTTGACACGTTAACAAATCCACAGTACTTCTCGTTTATCGATTGGTAACTTACCACATAATCGGCGCATCGTTTTATATTGCTTTATATCAGCGCTTTTCTGGTTCACGACGATTGTGTTTCTTAGAAGCTTTAAATTTCAAAGTGAGCCTGAAATTTCTTGGGTGTGCCAGTTCTATCCCACAGTTTAACGTTATCTGTTTGATGTGCAAAATTCTCGACAACGCATAGCACAATGCTGACAGACAAAGACTTTTCGAGTCGAAAGGAGGAATTCGGTAACATTGTTCTATCACACGACGTTATTAGCTGGTTTAAACTACCTAAATACACTCTATACCGTTTCATTTTTTGGCAACATAAAAAGCACTTGCCACATTCGCCGAAGACATCAGACGCACCTAAAGTCACCTCCATAACCTGGAAACCCTGGAAATACGTATTAATTTATCTCAACAGACGTTTGTCATGAGATGAGTACTTCTCAAAGTTAGTCTCAGCCCATATTTTTTCCCTTGATCTTTAAATTCTTTGGCAATTGTCCATGATTTAACATAAAATTTTCTAAAACACAGTTGTTTTCGTAGTAATGTTCTTGGTAAAACAAAGGGTTGGTAAGAGTTTTCCCTTTATGCAGTGCAGAAAATAACAGTTAAATATAATGGCTTCGTTTTGTCGGATCTACTCTTTATAAAAATAACGACGAAGCAATAGTTGTATTCTTCCGATACAGCTTTCATATGCTTCAGCTGGACTGCCCCAGCGAAATGAACCTTAATTTTCGTTGAAAAACCTTTCAGCATGATGTTCATTCCAACGACACCAAGTGCTTTTCGGTGTCACTTAGAGGTGTTCTCCAACTTTAATTGGAAGTTGTGCCTTCAAATGAAATACTTAATAAGATTTCCTTCGCATTTCAGATATTTGAAGCTTATATAATTTTTTTAGGACGCGTAATATTCTTCCTGGGAAGCTCTCAAAGCAAACCCAATGAGCAGATCGAACGATCTTTACCTAAAACCTTTTTGCCACCCTTCTACGACTCAATGACGCCTACTAAATCCTCTAATAATAGGAGTGTTTTATATTGCAAACTGGAACGCAAGGAGTACCTGCAGGTATAAACGGCTCAAATGAAATTTTCTGTGACACATCGTGGTTTTGAACAACTACGTTCTTCATGCTCTTGTTCTTCCGATAAGTAAATCCATAATGAAATTTCAGAATTCGATATATTCACTTTCAAGAAAACATGCGGGAAAAAAATGCCTGAAAATCTCCTCTTCATCAATTTCATAAGATGACAAAAGATGGCGTTAATCGCGTTTTGGACTACATCCAAAAATAGGTTAGGTGAAATTCCATTAGATATTCTTCAGACCAAATCATTTCTGATACTCACATGCGATACATTTCGTATGAAACGTAGCAGCAGGGCTTTTCACTTTTGGAACAATTCCTTAATGGTGATAGGGATGTAGTATCATTTTCTCACGGAGATAAAAGGTGTATTTGGAACAATTTTGGAATTCAACGAAAAGCGCTCATTCTTATGCGTTCATCTTTATGAAAATATAAAGAAAGGGTCTCATTCCAATATTCTTATCATGAAAGGCCTTTTCCTTTCACTCATAGGCGCGGTTACGAGCTGCATTCTCGGCTGAGGTCCAAGTGAATCTTCGTTGTGAAACAGCGGTGATCGCACCATTCGTTACTAATTTTACGGTCATTTTTCTCCAACTGTATACAATGCTGCTAATTCAACTTCGTGTGATAGGTTGTACGTTTAGCAGATATTGAAATTCACCTTCTTTTGGTTTACACCTTAGAGACAGGAGACGAACAGGAAAAGGGACAAGATCCACCGTTAACTGATGTGGCAAACCCTATTTTGAGAATAATTCTTTCTACTTCTGTTCAGCAAACACGAGGTGTTATATTATTTCTTTATTTACTTACAAGCTAACGTTTCGGCAGATTTTGCCTTCCTCAGAGCCTAGAAAGGTCAAGTTGACAGTAATCTGTTCGGCTAAACACCTCCATAACCAAACAGAGAAAACGTTAAACCAAGATTTCATTCACATTTAGCATAGCTCTGCACACTCACCGCTTTCTATGAGTCTTCCACTGAGTATGTCGCGTGAAGACCAACCACACAAAATTCACATGGAAGCGTAATGTGCCCTTCCCTTCAGAATAACAGGTTTATATAGTGTCCAATATCACGCGTGATAATGAGGTATTCTTCCCTGCGGTTCATTCTCGGATTTTGAGAGAATATGCTAGTGATGTAGTTGAACAGCAGTATGCCCATTACTACCCATTACCCACAGCGGTCCTGCCATTTTTACTCAGGATTAAAGAGGGTCATTGAAACCTGAGTACCATGAGTACCTCTTTTCAATTATGTGATGGTTAAATGCAATAGAGTATACAACAAACAATTCACGAGATACCAAAGCTTATTTATTACTGGTCTTCTAGTTAGGTTTCTGAGTAAAAAAGAAACCTCTGTTCAATTTATGTAACCAAGTTTAGAATATGAACCCCTTCCTTTACAATGTTTCATTATCATACGGGAATGTATTTCTGAATTTTCTGCATGTTTAGTAATCCATTTCTTGATAAACTTCTTGAATAAACAACCTTTTTGATGTTCTTGCCCGCAAAACGCAAAGATTTCAACGGTACGAATTCTACCGGAGTTGTTCAGCCACTGAGTTTTGGCAAAAGGAGAGCTCAATCTATTCACGCGTGTGGTGTAGTGATTGGAGGTGCCACTGCGATACACACATGGAATTGATTCTCGCGCCCATGGCTCACCAACCCTTCCATCTCTCCGGAGTCGGCAAATTGGTACCATACTTGTCTCGGAGGCTAGCAGCACTGGCTCGATACCTCGACAAGCCACTTCGAGTCATTGTAAAGGCAAGATATGCATTCAATCACTTCTAATGATACTTAATGAAGTCGAATGCATGGCGCATCCCTCAGAGTTTGATCAACGCCGAAAGCGTCCTTTTTTATTAATCTATTCTCAAATGGGGAAAGAAGTACGGAAACTTTAGTAGAAGCATTCCACTCATAAGTTTACGATTAAAGAAGAACTTTAACTATGGATAAGCTTTCGTTTATGCACCACTAGCGATTAGAGTACAAATCTTACTCTTGACGTAAACGGTGCCGCAATTGAAGCTTCGGCATCCGATAATGAAATTCCAACATGTGCAGCTTTCAGTGCCGCACAATCATTCGCCCCATCACCACACATCGCGACAGTGTAATCAGTCTAAACTTAGAGAATATGTTGGCAAAATGTGAAGAAGCTACTATAAGGAAACAATAGTGGAAAACCTTTTGAAGATCATTAATCAACTGCTGTTTTTGATCAGGAGACATCATTGCGAAAACATCGCATGCACTCACAAGCCTATCCGGTAATTAGGGATAGTGATGTGTTACAATGGCAAATGTCGGGCCTACAACATAGTAACTTATTAGCGCAGTTTTGTTGATAACTGTAACTCACCTGAAATGGAAAGTTGGTAGGAACTTTCGAGACTATGCTTCTTTCCAACATCAACAGAAACCGAGTCTCCATCAACTGTCTTTTTGGAACATGGTGCAGCCTTGAGTGAAAATAGCAGGTTTGGATAAGACTAGTACAACTTTACAGTTGAACGATTCTCGCACATAGCTCCAGATCGGTGCCTGTGGCTTTGCAACTGAAAACTGTCGAGTAACAAAAGGCTGTATATTGTTTCATTATGATATGTATATGGGGTTTTCCGTTTTGTATCACACGAATTTCCTGTCCGAGCAAACTTTAGATCTCTGTGATTTTATTCTACATCAAGCGCGTCCCTGCCTGATCGTTAAAAGCAGTCGTCCTTTGTCGTCTACCACATCGGCGCGATGCTCAACTAAGTAAGCAGAATATAACTCGTATGAAATGCTGAGATACTTGCAAAACTCCGGACCACAGGTGTAAGCAATGGAGAGCGAACACGCGCTGTTGTCCTTACCGGTGAGCAGCGCACTTCACCACTACACCATCCGGGTCCTTCGCTTTGCATGTCTCAGCATTTCATACGAGTTATAATTCGAAACATACCCTGCCATTAAGAAGAAAAAGGCAGTAAATAAAAGAGTTAAGATTGTAAGTAAGCAGACTTACTGGGTCGAATAATTCCATACTCTTGAGCTACACTCATTGCAGTGAGAAGATTATCGCCCGTTACCATCGCTGTTCGTATGCGAGCTCTTAAACGACACCAGTGATTTCATGCTGTGTGAAGAACAATTTTTGAATTACAGGTTAGAAAAATTCAACGTCTCGTATCTTCTTCGTCCGCAATAAAATAAATCAAAATTTAGTACGATATTACTAGGTTGTTCGGAAACTAATGGCGAACTTCACCTCTATCATTAAAATAGCATATCTGAACTCGGAATAAACTTCACTAGTAGGAATGAAAACAATTAAAAATAGTTGAATTTGTCGTTTTGACATCTCACTCTCTAGTCTGTGAATTTTGTCGAAAGGGAACAATTTATACGACAGTTCATTAAACAGGGCGAAAATTCCTAAAATAAGGTCTATGCTGATACATAATTGTCCAATAACCGAGAAAAACTGTAAGTAGAACACATACGTGAAAAATTCGACTAAAATTTTTTTTATTTGCATTTTTAAGATCCGTCTTTACACTTACTACTGGGACACCAGCACTTCTCACACATACTTGATTCGTTTCCTCACATCCATCATTCACGAAGGTCTTTCAGGTTTTTACGTGTGGCTTCAGCTACTGGTTGAGGATTTTCACTTCCTCTTGAATGTTGTAGAATGCTGGTCGAGTCAATTTTTTCTGGAGTCCTGAGATAGCTGGGCTACAGCGTTCGGAGTTGGATTGCAGAGAGTGTTCTTTCTCCGGACAAGTTCAGTACCAATTTCCCGATCCCAGAGGGGTTAGAGAAATCGTTGGCCCGACGCGGAGTCGAACTTGCACCATGCTCGTGATGGCGGACATCACTGCCACTGTGCTATGTGCTCCTTTTATTAAGAAACCGACAGTAATTCTCAAATGATGCAATAAATGAAGGGGAATCAATAAAATTGCGGAATATTTCTATCAATGACATTCACTTATTGAAGAAAGAATTCTCCAAGGCCAACAACTTGGAAAGGTTTCATACAAAGTAAATCAAAATGGAATTACGAGTGCTGAGCATCACCTATTGATAAGCATCACTAATTAATCAGTACGTTGACGCCATTGAGGATAAATGATGACTTACCGATTCAGTTGATTAATCACTCCCTTAGTAACGGATTTTACTCTGTTTTCTAATGCTACGAGACCCAGAAGCGTCAAATCGTTTTCAACCTAAACATTGGAATAAAAAACTGGGTTACGTTCCGTAAACTATGCAAGAATATACAAGCAAACCATATTATGAGGAACTTTCGAAGCTTTTGCATAGCTCAGTTCGAGCGCTTTTCGTGCCACCGCAATCAAACGATAGCCATGCTGTGCGTATAGATCCACTTGTACCTGAAATTTCGGGGATATGCTAAACTCTACTGAAAAACCAAACAATTTTGTTAACGGATAAAAAAAGTATAAAAACTCGGCAATGATCATTTCCTAGTGAAGCGACACTCGCCTTTACTAAGGATCGTTAGGGGCGAATGTATGCTTCTCTTGACGACCCGGAGAGATGGAAGGCTTGATGAGCCTGAGGCACTGGTTAGCCCCAGAATAATTTCCATATAAGCATCAGCTTGTTTGTTTGAAAAGATTTTTTTTGGCCTCTAGAAACTCTTGTTAAGGCTATAGTAGGTCGTCGCCACTTGCCAGCTAGTGATTATTCTGCTTGCAGGACGGCAGTGATTTCTATCAATCGACTAATCATAGCTGAGCCTCCGAATGAAAATGCGGAATTCCATCTGAGCTTGAGAGATCCACGTTCGATAATAGCAGATTGACATGTGCTCTCTCGAGGCACTCAAAGGATACAATATTCTTTGTTAAAGAACTTCATAGAGAAGTATGACAATTATTGCAACAGTTTCCCACTCAATGCATCATAGAACCATACAGTCAAATTTTCACCCAAAAATGAAGTAATAAATGGATTTATAAATGATAAAAACAAAAAATGAAACCAATTCTTATTAAACCAAATGCCTGTGGGGTCATAAAAATATTGTTTCTAATGAACGCGGCAATGTTCATGTCTAATAAACAGTACTTGGCAGTACCGAATAGTTTTGTGGAACAGTCCATAGATCACAGAGCGACAAAATCATTTCCGGCGACCCTTTGCAGAACAATGTCATGTCGTGAGAACAACGTCACGAGGATTTGAGACAATCACAGACATTCGTTTAAGTGAAGAACTTAAAATCGTGAAATTTACTGTACAGGTAAAAACTGTTTGTCGAAGTTAGATTAGCTTCAAAAAATAAAACAAAGCATTACAGAGACATCAAGCCTGAAAGTAAACTGCCGGATGACATTGTACTCCTTATTGAATTTAGTGTTTCGTAGAAGTCCTTGCGGGGGTTTAACTATGGTGGGCTAAAGGAAAGAAATTTATTTATTCATTCGCTATTGAACTCATAAAGGCAACCTACATGTCTGATAAGAGAATTTTCTTTTCTAAAAACAATGTACATTAAATTGAAGCACAAAAAATATGTGTATATCAGTAATCAGGACCAATTGCGAAAAATGACAATACTCTTCAAGTTCTTTTGACGAGTAAGAAAGCTACAAGCTTAAGCTCAGAAGGAAAGAATATTATAATTGTAAGTGCCATCATTCTTGTCATAAAAAAGTACTACCGTGAAGGAGAAAGGTGAAAGAAAATAAAAGAAAAACAAAAACAAAACGGAAAACAGATTCCAATAAAGACGTAAAATTTGTGAAAAATTACTCCACTAAGATAAAATACCTGGACGTTATCGTAGAGCTGCATTTCGCTCTCTTCCCTATCATCAACCGTTTCCATCATCGCCCATCCGGTCTTGTTAAAGAGAATCAAATCAAGGGGATCGCCATGTAATTCACCATGAATTCTAAATGTCTAGTAGACAAAGCTGCAGTAACGAAGGTTTACGAATGCTAAGTGCCATGCCGTTCAAAAGTTAATGAATTTATAATTAGGTTATGTAAAGGTAGTATACTTAGTGAGAGAATGGCAAGTAGCAATGGCGGTAATCAACTCGCCGTCTGAAGGAAAATCTACCGGATTCATTCCTGATTTCTCCTAAAAAGTAAAGTTTAAAAAAATTTAGAAATGCTGAAATTAATGTGACAATGGAACACACTTTAGTGAATGTAGGTAGTGCTTCTTCACTTGCGGATCTTACGGCACGAAGTGCATGAAAATCAAGGCCATCTTCAGTTAGAGTACCAGTTTTACCAGAACCGAGAAGATGGCTCACTGAGGAAGTTCTGGCTCGACACGAAGGCGAAGACGCAACGTCGAGACGAACAACAAGCATGGACCATCGACTCGGATCACCGGCTCTGAGGAAGACGAAGACGTCGAAACGTTAGCCAAAAATAAATATATTTATCAACCTCGTGCAAGCTTATCAAGAAAGAATACATATTGATTAGTCACACCGAGGTTTAGGGAAGGTCGGTTTCGAAATAGTACCAGTTTTGTCGAAACAGCACTAGAAATATCTATATAAATGATACTATGCCCTGTAACACTTGCAATCCCACTAGTCATGACAACATGTGTTAATAAATATCCAATTGTTCCTGTGCTCATGGCTGCACATTGGATTCCACTCACTCTCAATTATTACGGTTTTAGCAATCACTGGTAGTCCTACCCGCTCTCCATCGCTTGTAGAATTCTCCCATGGATAAGGAGCTAATTTGTTTGAGGAGACTCTGAATAGAGCAGAATGTGCTTGCTAGTCACATCGAAAGTTGTTCGCATGAGCGATGTGTAAGATAAAATACACATGTATGTATGCACACTCATGCATACTCCCATACGGTTAAGTGTAAACACGTAGTATAAGCTGTCTTGGTGCACGAAAAACACAGAGGGTATCATTTGAGTCTGCATGCATCTTACAGAGCACATTTCTGTTCTTGAATCGCATTAAAAATTAGGCCAAGACCTTCACATGAATGAGATTTATGAATGGTCAGACAGCGCCGCCGATATTTTGTCTAGTTAATCATTTAGACTGCCCGTCATAGAGTGTCATGCTGGCTGTATCATTTTTTCATTCGATTCGCTGCCCTGAAGTCGTCATACGTGGAGTTAGTTGGGATTCGCTTAAAGTTTAACGAATTGTTGACTTTTTTGTCGTTAACATATTGAGTAGAAGTCTAGCATATAGTAGTACTAAACTATCTCTAGGTCTCACTATTGGCATTTGTCCACTGTCATCGACTGGAGAGAGGGCTACTGCCTAGCGAACAGATTTCATCCAGGATGGCAACGATCGCTGCGATTTAGTCAACTGATCGACTTGTGATTACGCAGTAGACCAATTGTTTTTGTGTACATATACTTGAATACTTAAATAGTCCATCTTTACGAATCACAAAGAATCGCGAGGGCGCCAGCACAGTTTCTGTCTGAGAGGTAGTTTACCAGTTGAGCAATCATCCACTTCCTTACAGTCTCGAAAACCGCATTAGGGGTTTCCGAGATGGTCGCCACTTTCTAACTAGTGGCTATTCGTTGCGAAGACGCCCTGATTCCTGGCACTGTCCTTCAGTATGGAAATGTCAAATCCATTCAAGGTTTCGAAAACCTCGCTCGATAAATAACCTCCTGCTCTACACTGCCGATTAGCACAAAGGGGCAACCCTGCCGTAATGAGACAGTACATATTGGCTTTTCGGCAGGGTGTGCAGTACAATGAAGGATAGAAAGGGTAAAGTATCCGGCATTGATCAGTCTCTGAGGCATGCGCTTACCATAGCTAGATGTGAGTGAATCCATTTCAGGTCTATGCAGTAACCTGCGATGCTTACCGATATATCAACTGTTATCTGACGAGCTTTTGTATAAAGGAAGGCTTCGCTATAACGTATGTTTGATGCAAGTTCTCGTGGTTATCGTGACATGGTTTGGACCAACTTTATCAGACTGCACTAGAAGATGAACTTTCTCGAATACCATTTGGAGCACTAACCTTAGGTTCCTCTACCAAAATTCCGCCTATCACAGAGCGTATACTATCCCAAGACCATTAGTCACCCCTCTGTTCCCTCAACCATCCTCTCACATATTGTCTTTCTCTACCTTACTACCCCTGCTACCACGTTCCCACTTGTATTGGTTCGGTACTGGGATAACGTTATTGTTGCACAATTATTGTTATAGACTGATATATTTATTTATGTGATCTTATAAATTGATCTTCTCAAGCTGACGCGAGGTTGGTACAGATCTTCGTTGTCGTTGTCGTTGTTTTTGATGTTATTGATCGATGGCTGACGTTTCGGCGACTTCGCCTTCCTCAGAGCCTGGACGTATTTAATATTAGAATGTTTTTATTATTCGGTGGAAAAGAAAGGTTAAAGTGTTAATGAAGATCAAACTATCAAATAGACGCCATATTGAACAGAAAGGCCACTCACAGTGATGTAACGTGCGGGACTGGCCCACGCGTTGTTTTCGTGGAGTCGTGAGCAAGACACACGACGGGGTCAAAATACCATTTTGAAATAGGGCGCCAGGTCACGCGTGATAGTGAGGCATTCGTCCTTCCGGTTCATCTTTGGATTTTTGAAATTTATCCAAAACGCCTGAAGAGTTTTGCGCGTTGATGTTTTTGATTCCTGCGCTAGGATCCGTACATTCACTTCAAAATCATCGCCGTTGTGCTTTTGTGCCCTATGCGTACCTAGAGGGGTGTTTAAACGGATTTTAGCTTTTCCATCTAGATGTTCTTTTATGCGGACACAAAGTGGTCTACCCGTTTCCCCAATATATTCCTCGCCGCATGCATTACATGAGATCAAGTATATTGTACCTGAATTCATGCAAACCCCGTCTCTCCCGTTAGGACAGATCATACAGTTTTCTAAGCTGCACAAACGATCATAGAGACGGTTTCGAACTAACTAGCGGCGTAGGGTATTAGGTGGGATGTCAGTAATCGTTACATAATTTTCAAGACCACTTATTCTTAAGCACTTTTTAATGGCGCGACTTACTTCATTTGATATGAAGGGTAGCTTAAAGGGAATCTTACTTTCGTCTGAAATTTTATTTTGGGAAACTACTCAACGTTTTCCTCTACCTTCCTTTCCTCTTCTCCTGTACACACATTTCTAGCCGTACGATACATGTTTTTGATAAGTGCTTTTTTCATGTGTGAAGGTTGAGAGGAGATGCAGTGAACTAGAATGTTTTTACTACTTGGCTTGCGATACCATTTTGTTAAATAGCCACTTATTGAGAGCTTTATTTGGATGTTTAAGAATGGAAGCCAGTTCTCGGTAGGTTCTTCTCGTGTAAATTTTATATACTCTGACTGTCGGTTTAATAATTCAAAGCACTCATCCATCTGTTCTTGTGTGGAACAGACGATGAAGCAGTCGTCTATGTACTGACAGTAGAGTAAGGGTCGGCGATCGAGAACTGCAGCTTCCACCTTAGACACGAAAGCAACGTCAAACTTAACTCTTTTATTTACTGCCTTTTTCTTCTAATGGCAGGGTATGTTTAGAACTATAACTCGTATGAAATGCTGAGACATGCAAAGCGAAGGACCCAGATGGTGTAGTGGTGAAGTGCGCTGCTCTCCGGTAAGGACAACAGCGCGTGTTCGTCCCCCACTGCATACACCTGTGGTCCGGAGTTTTGCAAATATCTCAGCATTTCATACGAGCAACGTCAAGATTTGGTGTTAAACGCTGTCCAATGGCCAACCCTCTAATTTAGGCAAAATGTTTTCGAGACCACCTAAAGATTGAACAACTAAGACACTGTTTTAAGCGAGTTGCTAGTTGCGCAATCGACAAGCCGTGCATTTTTATTTTCTTTTCATGCTCTACGAGCAACTCGAGAAAGGCATGCATTGCGGAGTCATTGGACATGTTGGTATAAAGTGACGTAACATCGAATGACTCCATTATATGCTTGCTGTTTGGTTTGATATTTTGAATGATATTTTCACCCCGGGGCGTGTCTTGCTCGCGACCCCACGTGAACTACGTGTGAGCCAGTCCCGCACGTGACATCACGGTGAGTGGCCTTTCTGTTCAATATGGCGTCTATTTGAAAGTTCGATCTTCATTAACACTTTAACCTTTCTTTTCCACCGAATAATAAAAACATTCTAATATTAAATACATCAAGGCTCTGAGGAAGGCGAAGTCGTCGAAACGTCAGCCATCGATCATTAACATCAAAAACAACGACAACGACAGCCAAGATCTGTACCAACCTCGCGTCAGCTTGAGAAGATCATTTTATAAGATCACATAAATAAATATATCAACTATCTATGCCGAGGTTTATAGAAAGTCGGTCTTTCGAGTTATATTGTTATAGACTCTTGCCCAAGCTCGAGAATGTGTTCTGTAGGAAAATCAAAGAGTCGGTGTTGCTATTCTCCCAGACAAGTCTGGTACTGATTTACCGTCATCTTTTCATCTTTCATCAACACTCATCTTTTACAACCACAACGATGCCGAGATATATGCAAAGCTCCCGACTGCAGGTGTCTGCGATGAGGAACGAACACGCTATCTTTTCCGGAGCCTTCACCACCGCACCATGGGGGTCCTTCTTTCGCCTGTCTCTCAGTGAGCTTTCTGATGTGGGCTCCCCAGATCAATCCCGTTGTTGGGTGATTGCTGACAGCACTAATTGATAAATAGGTTCGTTCCCCACTGCAGACACCTGCATTCCTGAGTTTCGCATTTATCTCAACATTGCTGTGGTTGTATTTCGCATAACACTGGGTGGGGATCAGGAGCACAAAGTCTCACATGGGCCAGGGATGTGCATGCACCAGGTCAGAAAAAATCGGTTTAAGCTATGGCGCGAGGTCGCGCGTGATCACAAAGAACTCCACATGGCTGTTTAATTTTGGATTCTCAGGATTTACCGAAAACGCTTTAGGAGTTTCGTGAGCTGCTGCCGTTGATTCTTGTGTAAGGACAGTGACTTTAGATTGGAAATCTCCTTTGTTAATATGTTCGTGCCTTTTACGTACCTCGTGTTCTGTTTGACTTTACGATTCCCAACTAGGTGCTTTTTATACGGGGAGTCGTCCAGCCGTTTCGTCAACATATTGGACCTAACACGCTTTACAAGAGTAACACCGTACTCGGACTCATTCCATCACTATCATTATCGTTAGGATATATTATACAATTTTGTCATGCGCAAAAACGGTCATTCAAACAGTTTCGAATTAGCTGAGATCCTGGAGTGTGATCATTGTTACCGAATCCCTTTTAAAGCAACGTTTTATAGCTGTACTTATTTCTATAGGAATGAAGGGCGGGATAAACGGCACTCCATCTCTGCAAGAATTATCTTTTCGGAGTGTAGTTTTTCCTCGCAACCTATCTCGAGGGTCTGCGGCATCGTAGCCATTGGAAACGACCATTTTCCGTGCCAGTTTCAAGAATACCTTCTTTTGCAACATTGTCTGCAAGACTTCAACGAAAAACAGTAAACACTTAAAAGAAATTGTTTAACATGTAAACGAAATTCATGCATTGAACTTTATCTGTTGAAGTTATGATAGTGTTTGGCTGAGTAGATTTCATGTCAATCTGATCCTTCCATACTCCGAAAAAGACGAAATCCGTCGAAACGTAAGCTATTGTGAATAAATAAGTGTCGTAACAATGTCGTGTCTGTTCATAAAGAAAACAGTGGTCACGGTTTTTCAAAATTTGGTTAAGTATCAACTAGATCCATTGGAAACCGAAATTTCATTCCATATCACCGGTTGCCTCACCGCTTAACATCGTTCGTTACAGCACCCATTGTGTTGCACACTAAGGCAGCTTTCTGTTCATAAAACTAGTTTTTCTCCTTGGGGTCCTGGAACCTTGGCTTTCGCATGCCGTCATCACTCAGTAACCACCCGTGTAGATTGCGGTGAGCTTTACACCACTAGATATTCATTAGAAAACAATTAATTTGTGATACTGGTGTACTTGTATCCGAGTACGCGAGTAGAAATGTCGAAATGCTGTGTGGATCTAGTGATGAATGATTTCTATAGTTGAAAAACATATAATGAAAAGCAGTTAAACCTGGTAAAGCTGGCGGAACCACGATCGTGACAATGTCCAGGGATCGTATGATGATATCTCTAACGGACTGTTTCCTTTCTATCATTATTATGATTGTGTAGATGAAACCAAACAAAGCAATAAAGAAGAGGAATGCAACAAACTAAAACGCAAGATTTTCTAATATACCACTTGTGCTTGGTGTAAATAAAGAAAACTACGAATCAGAAAGAAAAGTCAAAGGGAAATGTGGAAACTTTCCTTCATCCACCAACCTTGAAGAGATCCTTCGTGTATCGAAAATCGACTGGTTTCTGATACATTATTGATCGAACAAGCTGCCCTTTAAGTGTAGAATATCCCGTTCTGAGTACGATCGCCTTGAACACCGTTCTTAGTTTATCGAACTGTTTGCCGAAGTTCGGCACTATGTAGATAAATGAAGCATGCAGCTTGATCTTTCTTCACGAAAATCGAGCATAGACAGGCTACTAAGCTGTGTCATACATGAAAACTTTCGAAAAAAAGCTTTAAAAAGTTTAAAACACTGAAAATGTAATTTAGTTGGACGAGGAGCTACCAGGCGCAGATAATATTCCGGGGCAATTAACAAAAGTATCTGGGAGAAGAACAGAAGATTGTTTCCCGAAGTTACACCTCACTCGATAGTCACAAGAATTTCTGCACGCCTGGAAGAATTGTTGAAAAGCACTAAACCTCTCTCTAGTACACAAAGGCCGCAGACTGTTTATGAGTGAGACTTTTAAACAACTAACAATGCTGTCCACGCATTTTAGAAATAATCAGGTTCAGTCACATAGAAAAGGACAAATCGTAAAGTTGAAACTGATCCAAGACATGAATCCGATTAGCTCCATAGATGATAGCTGCAACACAACAAATTAGATGAAGGAAGTGCTGGAGCCTACATGGCATGTGTAGACGAACTATCTAAAAAGGTAAGATTAACAACTGTTGCTGTTTTAGGAATGGCCACCTAACATCAGTGGGCGTTGCTCTTACCATTCTTATGAGTGCTGCTTTGAGTACCGCCAAAGCCAAATTCTAAAGCGAGTCTTCGAACGCTCATAGATATATAACGCATTAGATGTTTGCCACTAATAACGCTTAACTGTATTATAACGTGGCCAAAAAAAACTGACACTGCCAGATTTGAATGATGAACGCGAGGAGAGCAGCTTCAACGACACGGGAGAAATAAACCGAACAGTTGATGCTAAGAGGTAACAAGACCTTCAGTGCAAGGACGAAAAGTGTTGCTGGTATTTCATTTTCAGCCAAAACACGGGCTCTAAATGTAATCACATCACAACAAACCTACCTTGACTTCCTTTCCCTGATAAAATCGTGTTTGTAAAATATGCGTACCAGAGAATAAGATGTGTTTTGAGTGTGTCTCAATGAATAGTCGCTTGTACTCTTCATCATCATCATGCGTTGGAGTTAATGCTACCTGAAATGTTCACTAATCACAAAAATTTACTGTTGATGGATCAAGTAAAGTGATATGACGGGCAACCATGTCACGTCATGCTATGGCGACATCACCTTTGTAACGGGAAAGACTGTCCTGTCAACATACTCTCGTTCACGATCGCTGTTCCAGTCATCAATATCGCATCGCAGTGGATCACACCACCATTAGCCGGCACAAAAAATATGTCACCCGGTACCAACTATAATAAATCGAAACAAACACTACTGTCGTCTTCTTATCATATCGAAATGTTGAAATGGCAAAGCGGGTTTTCAAAAAATTGCCGAAAGGCGAAAACTCGACATGCTACATCAGTGAAAAACGATGAAAAACATGGCAAAGTGAAGGAATGCCTTCATTATCTAATTATGCACAAACCATAAGAAGTAACCTCATCAGTGCTAATTTTTTTAACGATTCTCTCTCGTAATACTTTTACTTCGCCAGAGGAGTGAACCATTGACCGTAGCTTCTTCTATTGACTCCTATAAAGTGAGGTATTGTTCACTAGCTTACATTAAAGCAAGAGAAACAACACCTAAGCTCCAAATTGGCGCTGCGTGGCGTAGCACAATGAATGTGTATTGATTGCCGAGGTGCAATGATCAATACTCACACTTTACACTTCATCGTCGCTGTTTAGTACCGATGATATGCAAACTGTGCAGTTTAGAATACAAACCTCGTTTGATAAACGTCTATTACAATGGACGTCACAGACATAATAATAATAATAATCGAAGCGTAATACTCGTAATGGTCGTTGAACCAAATTATAACACTGAAACGTTCTTTCTATACAGAATCGATAAAGATCATCTAAAGATATATTGAAGAAAAACTTCTGGAATAAAAGTATTCTTCTTACCTAAAGACTTGGAAGATATAAAAAGTGAGATAGCTTCCTTAAAAAGCAAAGCAAGAATGGGCTTTAGTTTAACATCTATCAAATTTTTCCCATAGATTTCTCGTCGACTCGTAACAATGTCTTCGGAAAGACCTGTATCTAATTCTATCGTTGAGTGGAAATGGTTCAGCGGTATCTGAAATAAAACGACGCTATTGATCCTTATAAGGAAGTGGAAAAATTAGCGTGAAAAGCTTAAATGATGTAAATATAAGATGGTAACAATAGCGGTTGTATACGACACAGATTGAATGAGAGAACACGTCTCACGTTGAACCAATCGTGAATAAATGTATAACTCTCAGATTACCTAGACAGACTTTAGCCTTTTTCATAGTTTAATTTCTTCCAAAAAATCTAAATACTGCCACCTATGTGTTTATCAAGATCCACTGGTGACACTCAGCCCTCTGAATCTGGTAGCCAAACGTACTTCAATTTCCGAAAGGTAAAGTATAGCATGGAATCTACTTTTTGCATGGTTTCATTGCCCTTTAAAACATCTAGGTTTCGTTGCTAAACTATGAGAAGTACAGGAATAGAAGAATGTAAGGAATCTTAGAAATAAAACCAAATATATTCTCCACTTTTGAAGAATATGAGTACGAACTTATCCCCTATAACTGACAATTTTGCTACATAGGAATACCATTTGAACTGTGAATATGGTATCTGTTAACAAGTTTTTACTAAGTTGTATTATTACCGTAGGAAGAACGAGCGACAAATTAGCCTTAAATGTTTGGATGCGAATAGGACGAAGTAACTCGACACCATGTTTATCGCTGAAATACCCATTCAATTTTTTAATCTGAGATAAGTTAAACATGCACTTAGCCGTTTATAGTCGAATGCTCGAGTAATAATTGCAAAACTCCGGACCGCAAATGCCTGCGCTGGGGAACGAACAAGCTACTATGCTTTCTGGGGCCAACTCGTTCACTACCACACCATGCGGCTCCTTCATTTCGCCTGTCTCTCAGCTAGTTCTATCGATCAGCGTCATCAGTAATCACTCGTCAACGCCATTGATTTGGTGAGCTCAAATCGGCATTGAACCTAATTAAGTTGAGGCTATAGTTAAAACCACAATATTAACTTTTTATTTGTTACCTACTACAATTTTTCACGGCAGGGTACTACGTGGAATACAACCACAATGATGTTGAGATATTTGCAAAACTCGGGACCGCAGGTGTCTGGGGTGGGGAACGAACGCACTATCACCCTTTCTGGGGCTAACGCGTTCACTACGACACTGAGAGAGGGGCAGGCGAAGCGAAGGACCCACATGGTGCGGTGGTGAACACTTAGCACCTGAAAAGGGTAATAGCGCGTTCGTTCTCCATCGCAGGCACCTGCGGTCCCGAGTTTTCCAAATATCTCAGCATCACTGTGGTTGTATTCCACATAGTAACCTGCCGTGAAAAATTGTAATAGGCAGCAAATAAAAAGTTAATATTGTTCGATTAATGCTAGCTAGACGTTGGAACGCTACCCACTGAATATCAGCTGAGTAATTCGGTTTGTTATCAAACAATCTGTACACGCTATGAGAGTACACGCCTTATAACCATAAATGAAGTTTGTCTTTAAAAAAAAGACAACGTACATTACATTAACGAACTGTGCGTCTTTATGTGAACATTTTGATGCTCTCAGCTTGATGTACCAACTTCTTCGCATACAATACGCAGTGTACAAATTGTGAGTGCATAGTAAATGAGCTGCAAAAGTTCATACAAATGAATTGAAAAATTTACCACTATGATCTGAACGCATCAAGCTTACACTCTAGAAATATACAGCCTTACTGCATACCCACTTCTTGCTACAATTATCTTATGTACCTGCATGTGAATCACGCTAACCACGAAAAGAAACCTAGTGTGGAAAATTTCTTCCTAATAAACATCGCTTTAAAAAAACTTAAAAATATTTTCCGATGTTTCAAAGAGATAAAGTCATAAGGCCGCAGTCACTTTAATGGTACCATCTTTTCTAACCTTCGTAAATTTACTTCGCCTATTCGTAGCTGGAGTAATAGGGTTGTGTTTCAGGATGTGGAATTGCAGTGGGGACATATCTGTGCAATACATTCAGCCAGTTCGGTTAAGCAAAAATTTTAATTTTGGATTTCCAAACAAGACAGATACCAAAAGCCAGAACTAATTATAAACCTTTTCCGCGACAGGTACCTGTGTGTCTAAAAAAACCAGTAACAATGAGATGCACCAAAGAGAAAGTGTGATTCTCAACACAGTGGCTGGTGAGTCGGAGCAATCTGAATGGTGGTGAGTTCCCATAGCGCCACTTGAAGATTTTTTACTTAATGAGGCCAATGGAAAATTTTTGTACGGATTTAAACCTTTGTATAATACAGAAGAAGTCATGTGCTGTATAAATCTCAAATTTTGTCCGTGAACTGGTAATATTTGCACGAGACCATGCTAGTTTCAAAACTGCTGATGAAGAGTATTAGGATGAAGAAGATCGAGGGCAAACCGCTGCCATTGATTAATTAACCTTAATTAAAGCAGATGCAAACATATTACTAGGTTGCTCGGAAATTGATGTCCGATTTGTGAGGTCATTTTTCTCGTGTATATTTTAGTAGCAATTTCTTTATTTCGAGTGCTCTACTACTACATGTTATTCCTATGTTCATTTTATGCACCAAATATAATCTTGCCCCTATAATTGAATTTGAAAATTGATTGAGTTCGATTTGTTTGAGATTTGAATAATTGAATTATAATATGAACTGCGTTTTTAGAAACCTATTTATACGGATCCAAAAGTTGGAGGTAGAATAGCCGAAAAAGCTCAGAACGTTAATGAGGTGTGGTATCGAGGAAGTGTTAACGAGCGCACAGGTGCAACTGTTCGTTTGTAAAACTCCATTGGGGAAAACTCGTCGTTTACGATGAGGAAGATCGAGGACGTGTTCTGCTAATAAGCACAATGAAATTAAGGCTTTGTTCGAAGCAAATAAATATGCATCTGGTTGACAAACTGCAGAAGAATTCAGCGTAAGCAGCTCAACTGCCTCGGGACATCTAAAAACTTGTAAAACTGAAGCTCTACAGGCGATTACCGTACATATTGGACGACGATTCTTCTAGAGGCAGACGTTGTACTGCTGAGGATGCAAATGTTTTTGAACGAACAGAACTACGAAACTGTGCCTCATTCATAACATTCATCTCTCCTGTTGCATTTCGACTGCTACTTCTTCAAACATCTGAACAACTTCCAGTAGGTGAAATGCTCCGGAAACGAAATGGAGACCCGAGTTCTCTTTGACGACTCCAAAATTCCTGAGTCTTATGCGACTGAAGTAAATTCGCCTGCTTCTCGTTAGCAAAGCATGTAGATTATAGTGGTTTTTACTTCACTTAATAAAATTTATTTTTTTCTGGGATAACCCACTTTAAATTTTAAGGTTGAAATCGTACGTTAGTTACTGGTGCACCTAATAATTCGACAGTTTGTGCACTGAAGAATTACCTTCCAGCAAAATAACAATTTATGAACTCTTCAGGCCAACTTTGAAACGAAGATCAAACAACTTGACAAATGGCTGCTTTATAAACTCAGCAAATGGAGGAAGCACCCCGGTAAAAAATCTGTTGAATCATCTTTGGCGCAACAAAAACGTGACAGTCCTGTCTCTTCATCACAGTGCTGTACAACGCGTTAATTTATAGCAGTGGAAGACACAGCGGCTCCACTTATGAATGTCTGACAGATCACTTAACGATAAAAGTACTAGAGAAAAAACTTCTCAAAAACCACATAGGCCTACCAAAAAGCTCAACTCAACGAAGCCATGAGAATTTTCCAAGTGTGTCAGTTGAAACCTTTTTCATTGTCGAAGGACTAGAGCGACCATTACCAAGCTTCATCCATCATCGCAACGTATCAGAGCTGCACAGAAGGCCTCGCACGTTCGAGGGACGCGAAAACGTCGTATGACTTCATTCATTTTCCATAATTCTATAGAGCAAGCACTCAAAGACAGTTAATAGAGTTTACCCTTGTAAACTAAACCTTTTGACGGGTAGTATGTCGTGCTCTGCAAACAAGGAAGTAAACAAGAAGGCTCACCCTGTAAACTCACTTGCCTCTCCATTAA